AAGTCACACATTCTTTCTACTGAGGACAATATGTATACTGAACCTTAGAAGATAGCGTGCCAACCTGTAGTGTATTACTCCTGAGCTGGTACTTCATCTGTACCTTCACAGACCATTCCAACCACAGACCACCAGGCTGGCGGCTTTGTGTCATAGTATGTAATATGACCAGAGGAACTCAGTCACCCACCAGTTTCAGGATTTATTAGTCTCTATCAGCCTATCTAAAGGAATCCCCCATATGATCAGAGGAATGAATGAAGGTCCAACGGTGGATAACCTAAGAATCTGGATTCCCTGCTCATGCAGCTTGCAAGAAGAAAATATCTGGTCATGCTTGTGTTCAATCTTGAATGTACTCCTTCTAACTTAAAGTGAATTTTCCCTGAGCTTGCTGAAACTCATGGCTTAACTGGTCTGACAGAATTGGCTTATTATAGGCAAGTCTGTGTGCATAGTTATTTTGTGCCCCCATGGTCTCTATCAAGGGCTCAATAGTAAACCAAGGATTGGTTTTTTAAACCACTTTAAAAAATATATCTATATGCAGAATATCATTTTTCTGGACTCCCAGAGGCCTGTCTGGTGATTCTATGACTGTGCTTGCCATGAAATCCACATGGCCTCTTTTCTCACCACTAGTATTGAACCGGGTCTGCCTAGTTGTAGGGTCCAAGCAGCAGCGATGCTTGCACCACAGCCTGAATGTGCTGTGGAGCCCTTTTGTGATATGAGCCCCACTCAAGTGGTATTTTTTCATGTTATCCAGTATGTAAATTGAATTAGCATTTAAATGTAGGGGAAATTCTGTCTCCAGAATCTGAAAAGGCTTATTAGGTATTGTGCTTCTGCCTTCATGGTAGAAGATTCAAGGGATAGTCATATTTTGGAAGGACATATGTTATCACTGGACTCTTCACAAAGGTTTGCCAATGTAGCAGAATACTGAATCTTCATAGGTTTATTTTTCATTTCTGAAATATCCTCTATGGTGCTAGCTACTTCTTGTTCATCTAGCCTAATAAGCGTAATATCATCAAGGTAGTTTGTCACATAATATTCTGTGGGATGTTCAGACAGTCCAGATCTCTTCAGACTATATTAAGACATATAGCTGGATAAATAACATACCTTGGGGCAGAACTGAATATTTCTGTCCATTCCATGCGATTGCAAAGTTTTAATTTTTTTTCTGATGTAAACATAAAAGAATACATTTGACAAATTAATGGCCATGCATCATGTGTTTGAGGCATTTTAAATCTACTCGAATTAAGATATGCATCTAGCAGTGTGACTTCAACTATAAGGGAGCTCTGCTGAATGTTTATTTGGTTGAGTTTTGCTTAACTATCCTACTCCAGTATTCTGATTTTGAATGGGCCAAAGTAGTTAATAAAATGGAGACATGATGAAGACCACCACAATGCATCAGTTAGATCTTTAAAGGTGACCCTCATATTCTCCATCTCCTGAAGATACAATATTATTTTATTAACTATAGTGACAGAGGTAGCAATTTCAGAGGCTTTCACATGTTCTCTCCTACCAAAATAGCTTTTATCCTGCAGGATAAGAATACAGTGGGTGGGTTCTTCCAAGTTGCAAGTACAACATGTACATCCCAGTTGTACTTTGGAAATGGATAATCATCAAGTGGATATGAAGATATAACAGGCCCACTGAAAGCCAGACCTTGCTATTAGCCAGCTCTAATTTGTCCCTACTTTGACAGAATCACTAAATATCACTGGCAACTCAGATCTTATGTTTCATAATCTTCAACATATTTTGGGCACATTGTATCACTAGTGTATAGTAAATAGTTTTAGATTTCTTGAAAAAAAGCCTGGGAGATAATTACAGTGTATACATGCTATCTATATATATAAAAGCCAAGCAACCAAATGGCAGAACGACCAGAACCACCAGAACGACCCGTGGCTATGATGCACACTGCGGCGGCCAACCAGCCAGATCGGGGGCGTGGCCGGCTAGCCAACCACTCACAGCCCCTCCCCGCTGCTGGCCCCGCCTCCAACTGCCCTCCCCACCCCGATCACTGAAGTGTGACCTTCAGTGATTCTAAGTAAGTAAATGCTCTCCAGCCTTCATAGACCAGGAACCTGAATGACGAGTGATCAGAAGGAAAACTGCTCATGGCCTGGACCGTCAGTCAGGTGTCCAGGAGAGGTGCCCAGCACAACCACCATCTTCTTGCATTCTCTCTCCACTGCTTCCTACCAAAGAGGGCAGCCACATCACACCACGGCCTCTCTTTCGGGGGCTTGTCAGCAGGGAACTAAACCGCATTACCTGTCTAGGGAGAGGCTTAGGAACGGAAGCTGTAAGTGTCCCTGACACTAAAGCACCTTTGAAGCTTCAACTTCTGATCGCCCCCCACCCCCCCACAACCCTCGGGGGCAGGTGGCCGGACCCCACCCGTGCACGAATTTGTGCACCAGGTCTCTAGTGATATTATAAGGTCCTTCTTCCTGGACTAAACTTATTTTTGGCCAAAAGGTTTTGGGATTGAAAACTGGCTCAGCCCTAGCCAGTTTGGCTCCGTGGATAGAGCATCGGCCTCCAGACAGAAGGGTCCTGGGTTCAATTATAGTCAAGTGCATGTACCTCAGTTGCAGGATCCTCCCCTGCCTGGACCCTGGTCGGGGCATGTGCAGGAGGCAACCAATCAATGTGTTTCTCTCACATCAATATTTCTGTCTATCTTTCCCTCTCTCTTACACTCTAAGAAATCAATAGAAAAATATCCTCAGAAAGGATTAAAAAAAGAAAACTGGCTCAGAACTAGAAACTGGGCAATGGAGCATCACTTCTTACTGGTGTGACTGCTCTGTTATGAATTCTCAATTTCTTCTGATGACAATTTCTTTACTCACACTGTAAAACATTGTACCTATAGTAAGCCATCATATATTTTGCATTTTAAAACATTTAATAGGGCATATTCCATGTTAATTGTTCTTTCCAAAATATGATAATAAAAAATAAATTTAATATGAAAAAATGTTAAATACAAAAAGTGAATACAAAAATAGTAAGTGTGAAAGGGAGGTACATGAATATAAAACACCAAATCAGAATCATATTGTTGTTCCCCTACAAATGAATGAATGTAGAAGATGTGATATTTTATATATATATATTATTCAACCATAAGAAAATGGAAATCCTGCCATTTACAACAACATGGGTGGGCATTGAGCATATTATGCTAATTGAATAAGTCAGACAGGGAAAAACAAATACTGCCATTTCTTACTTAAATGAGTAATTTTTTAAAGGCTGAACTCATGGAGTCAGAAAGTAGAATATGAGTTGCCAAGGATTGCGGGTGGGGAAAATGGGGAGATGTGGGTCAAAGGTTACAAACTTTGAGTTATAAGACAAATAAATTCTTGGAATCTAATGTACAGCATAGTGATTATAGTTAACAATACTGTATTAATTATATCCTTTCAGGTTGCTAAAAGAGATCTTAAAAGTTATCACACACAAAAAAAGAAATGGTAATTATAGCATGTTATGGAAATATTAACAAGTGCTACTCTCATAATCATTTCAGAATATCAAATCGAATATTGTACACCTTAAACTTATACAAAGTTATATGTGAATTATGTCTCAATAAACCTAAAAATATTAATGCTATACTGATATGTCAATGATGCAAATAACAGCTGATAACTAGAGACAATTTCATTACAGTACTATCCCTTCAAATATGATACTGTGATCTGATGGTATTTTTAATGTAAAATTTGCATATTGCCGTACTAAGGGCACTTGAATATTGGGAGTGCACACCCTGTACCTACTGATTTATTGCCTTCACTCTATTTTTTTAGTTCCTATTTCTCCATTCCAATTTGCCACAGTCTTATAGTCACTTCAAATCCTAGGAAGCATGGAAGATGACAAATAAAGTGAGCATGTATATATATATAGAAGCACAGGAAATTTTGCAACAAAGTTGTCATATACACATCTAATTATCTCCTTCAGTGGATATTCATGTCAGATTTTTTTTAAAGAATCAAAATTTCAGGATCAAAAGATGCCCTTGGCTGAGGTTCACACAGAAGGGTAAAAATAGCAATGGGTCCAGATGCCTGCTGAAAGATTTGTTATTTTATTCTGCTGAAACATAATCAATCTTCCCATAAATAATTGCACAGGCAAGCTATAAACCTTTCTTCTTCAGTCTATTTTTTTTTTAAAGCAGGACTTTGGAGAATTGATTTACACTTACATTGTACCTATCACTATGTCAACACAGCTTATTGGGAATCTCCATTAATGACTAGTTATTTTACCACCAAACTGAATAAGCTATTTCACATATGCATTATAAAAGTGCCTGTTCAAGAATCAAAGCCTCTAATATTGTTTACTATTTTACCATTGTGATTTTTTTACATAAAATAATATAAATCATTATCTTATTTAAATGTACTTATAACTGCTATATTGGAAGATGAAAATGTTATTCTCCTTGTGTTATTTGATTAAAATAAAGCCTCCTGTATCTGCTATGTTACACTTCAGAATTGCAAAGGTAGTTTAGTAGTCTATTATGTACATCTGCTGTCCCTGATCTTCTGACATTCCTATGTAGCATATTTATTCATATGTTTTTGCTCTGTTACTCACAAATTACTTTATGCTTTACAATTGTACATCATGACTCTCCATTGGCTTTGGACAAGCTTGGATGAGTCATTCATTGTATTGGCACCATCAAAAAGGTAAGTATTTTCTATGTTCAGGGTGGAAGATTCTATCAAAACAATGACCTGCCAGTGTTCTGAAATGGAGAAAGAGGCATGATGATAAAATCTGAGCAGGAGCTGCTATGTTAATCCATGTGAATGCTACTGTGGGAGAAATAGTGGTGACATGTTCATGTATTTTTCTTTCTTTATAGTCACATTTTAGCTTTATAACTTGTTAGCTATGTCCTTCTTCAAATTAATCAATCTCTGAATTTCTCAGTTCTCAATGATAATCATCTATCACACCTTTTATCTCATCTTGTATGACCAAAAATAAATTAAAAATTTAAATAGAAAAAAATTTTGGAAAAACCTAAATACCTTGTTTTTCTGTTCTCTAACTAGGGCAGTTTTGTACTGATGGATAAAATCCCATGTCAGAATAGATGAGTAGAAGCTAAATATTCATGATCATTAATCTAACTGCCTATAAATTCTACTATGTTTTTGTAGTTACTGAATTACAGAAGCCAATTACACTGTTATTCACTCTCTTTAACCTCCATGTATCATTCCAATCCCCACCCCATATGTCCCTGTTAGTGGCATTGGATTATACAACACTATATTTTATACAGATATATAGACATGTCATATATAAACTCCCTCAACCACCAAACATACAAGTATACCTACATTTTCACTCAAATTACCCTGTTGTTCAAGCAAAGAAGAAAAGTCTATTGGTCCTCCAGGTACATTCTGTCTGATTAGTACCTTTGTGAATATAGATTCACAAGTGAGAAACCAAGGATGAGAGCAAAGGCTCACATGTGACATTTCATTTAACTAAGCATCCACCCATCAATGTCACTTATCAGTAATTCATACATATTTTTGAATTGTCAAAAATTATCTATATATATAAAAGCCACCTGGTAGCTATGATGCTCAATAACCACCAGGGGGAAGATGCTCAACACACAGGCATGGAAACAATAGACTGATGAATCACAGACGGGGGTCGGGGGAGGGGAAGAGGGTGGGAAGAGATTAACCAAAGATCTTATATGCATACTAGAGGCCTTGGCCTAGCCTGCGGGGATCAGGCTGAAACCGGCTCTCTGACATCCCCGAGGGTTCCCGGATTGTGAGAGGGTGCAGGCCAGGCCGAGGGACCCCACTGGTGCATGAATCAGTGCACCAGACCTCTAGTAGCAAATATTCGGAAAAGTGTGTATGATAAGTATATGCCTGGGTTAATTTTCCCAAATTGACCAAACTGCTTTAAATTTTGTCAAATGTTTCTGTCTATATCTATTGAAAGAGTCATACATTGCTTTCCTTTGTCTGTTTATATAATGAAAAATAATTGTTGGTTGGATATTAAATGCATCTTGAATTCTTAAACTAAATTCTACTTGATTATATGATCCTTTTCATAAATTCCTAGATTTGATTAACACTTTGTTGAGAATATTTACATTAATCCTAATGAGAAACAGTGGTCTGAAACTGTGTTTACTCCTAATATTTTTGTCCAATTTTTGTATCAATATGAAGCTGATAACATTGTAATTAGCTAGTTATTAACAATAGGAAGGAGCAAAGGGAAGGACAGACATCATAGGCATGTCATTTGGGCAGCTGCATCAGGAAGCTGCGGCTTTGCACTCCCCTATTCTCTGCAAAATGATGAGGGGAAGGGGACTGGACAAAGGAAAGATAGACTCATTCCCAATAAAGTTGGGGTGACACAGGTAAGGTATTTGCTTGTCAACCACACACCTGAGAACAGAGATGATTGGCCAGAATGAGTGTGCCCATGGCAAATGCATGAAAATTTGGGAATACATAATCCCATAAACAAAGAAACTCTGTTTCTCTTATGCATTGGCTCATGAATCTTGGGACTCTTGGCTTCATGCAATGGCCCATGTGGCCCATGGCTATGAGGACCCCCACATGCAATGGACTAATGGACTGCAGCAGAGAAGCACATGCTAACCTAGCCTGAAGCTGGACTGGACCAGCTCCAAAGTGGAAAGGAAACACTGGACAATGGCTCTGATTTTAGCACTACTGAAGCCCCACTTATACTTCTTCTATGACTGGACTAAGGGAATGGAACTTTGGTAACCCAGGGAAGTAATTATCTCATCCTCTCATGGGGGCCTCTGGAAATTCTTATTCTAGCAGTACCCAAAGAACCCCAGTTTCACAAGCAACTGGGAGAAATGAGCTCTTCTCCTATTCTGTAACAAAGCTAACAAAATGCTTCAAGGAAGTGCTCTTTCACTTTCTCATTTCTGGAAGTTTTTATGTACAATTGTGTGGGCTTTTTTCTCTCAAGTGTTTGTTAGAATTCAACAATGAAGTAATCTAGGCAGTGCCTTTCTTTGTGAGAAGACTTGTAATTATAAATTTAACTTTTAAAATATATAGAGGGATATTCAGGTTATGAAATTTTTTCTTCAGTGAAATTTTGTTGCATTTTTCTAGGAATTTAAATGATCAAATTTATTATTTTTTATATCTCCAGGATCAATAATTGTAGGTCATCCTTCCTTTCTGTTATGGGAAACTATTTTTTTCCTTTCTTTTCTTTAATAGCTTGTAGTTTTTAATAAACAAATTATAACCTGCTCCAAGATTATAAAATTTCTCCATAAACTTCTCATATTTTCATCAGTTTGTTGTTTACTTTTTGTTATTGTTCTGATATTTAATTGATTTGAAATTTCTATCTGTAAATGGAATGAGATGGGAACTGTGAGTTATTTCCTTACCCTTCCCTAATAAAGTAGATAACCAATTGCTACAATGTATTTTTTCATAACCCATCTTTTTTTCTTTGAATTTCTACATTCTTTATACACTAAATGTGCACATATCCATGTGTCTGTTACAGAATGTATGAAGCTAGTTCACTGATCTAATGGTCAATTTTTATTTCATTACGATATGATTTTTAAATTTTTTACATTTATTTATTTAATTTTATTTAATCTTTATTATTCAGAGTATTAAAGATGTCCCTCTTTTTTCCCCCCACTCTCCCCCTGCACCTGGTTCCCACCCTGCCCCAGGTCTTTGCCACCTACTGTCTATGTCCATAGGTAATGCATATCTATAATAATAAAACCATAATATGCTAATTAATTAGACTAGATATCCTTCCCAATGTCCTTCCGGATGACCTTCTGGATGAAGCCAGGACTGCGAAGGCTGAGGCAAGCCACTGCAGGTGCTAGGGCCAAGCTCCTTGCAAGATTTCCTGCATCGGGACTCTAGTATGCATATAAGATCTTTGTTTAATCTCTTCCTGCCCTCCCAACCCCCTTCCCTCCAAGAATCGATAGTCTGTTCCATTTCCACGCTTCTGATTCTATTTTATTCACCAGCTTATTCTGTTCATTAGATTTCTTATTAGTTTATTTTAAGATTCAGTTGTTGATAGATATGTATTTATCATTCATACTAGTGACCCGGTGCACAAAATTCATGCACATTAAAAGGGAATTAATTAGAAGAAACATTTTAATATTGCTATTTGCCCTTTCTCTATAACAGAAGTGTCAGAGATGAAAGAAAATTAGTAAAATGTATATGAAAATCTCCCTTCTGTCAGAGACTGGGGCGTGCCATGGGACCTAGAGTCAAGGACCCGCCCACCACTCTCACACGCTTCGAAAATGCAGGAGACCCAGACCCGGTCGGTCCCACTCCCATTGGGTGATACCCAGACCCAGCCGGCCCCATCCCCATCAAGCCCCTCCAGACGGGGGCACAGCCTCAGGTCCCCTGGCCCAGCACTAGGGCAGGGTGCATGCGTGAAGTCCCCTGTCTGGCACTGGGGGGGGACACAGCCTGAGGTCCCCGTCAAGCCCTGCCAGGCAGGGGGTGCAACCTGAGGTCCCCAGCCCGGCGTGGGGGTGGGGGGCATGGCGTAAGGTCCCCTGCCAAGTCCCACAAGGCAAGGGGCACGGCCTGAGATCCCCTGTCAAGCCCCGCCAGGCGGGGGCAATGGCCTGAGGTCTCCTGGCCCAGTGCGGGGGCAGGGAGCACGGCCTGAAGTCCCTGTCAAGCCTGAGGTCCCTCAGCCTGGTGCGGGGCGGGGGACGCAGCCTGAGGTCTCCCAGCCCGGCACCAGGGTGGGGGGCATGGCCTGAGATTCCCGGCAAGCCATGCCAGGTGGGGAACACACCCTGAGGAACCCTGTCAAGCCCCGCCATGCGGGGGCCATGGCCTGAGGTCTCCCAGCCCAATGCCAGGGCGGGGGGCTCGGCCTGAAGTCCCTGTCAAGCCCTACTGGGCAGGGGGGTGTGGCGTGAGGTCTCTTGCCGCCGGCCAGGCGCCAGGCAGCCTCAGGTCCCTGCTGTTCGGTCACGACAGTATGGTGCTCTGGCTAATTTGCATATTCCTCTATTATTAGATAATTTTTTTATCTTTTTCTTTTTCTTCTTCTTAAAGAATACCCTTCAGCATTTAATGTAATACTGGTTTGGTGGTGATGAACCCCTTTAGCTTTTTCTTGTCTGTGAAGCTCTTTTTCTGACCTTTGAAAGAATACCTGGGTCTCCCGCAGTGTCCTTGTCACTGAGCCCCAATCCCCGCTGGTTTTTATAGCCTGTAGTTATGCGGACTTTTTTCCCAGCTCTGGGACCCTGGGCTGGGGGTCTGGTGTGGGGCTGGGACCACTTGCTCCTCACATGGGGCCTCCTAAGAGACGATATACCTCCCAATTAAAAAAGTGGTGCATATGGATGCCAGGCCAGTCCATTCCTCACCTCTGTCCCTGCTGCCAATCTCAATGTGCTTTCTTCTTTACTTCTCTAGTTGTAGGATTTCCACTCAGCCAGCTTTCAGGCAGTTCTGGATGATGGTTTTTCTGTATTTTAGTTGTAATTTTGATGTGGTTGTGGGAGGTGGTGGGTACATGCATTTACCTATGCTGCCATCTTGGTTTTCCATTACCATATGATTTTAATCATTATATCTATAAAAATAAAAGCATAATATGCTAATTAGACTGGACGGTCGAACAGCCTTCTGGACGTCCTTCCGGATGACCTTCCTGAGGAAGCCGGGGCTGTGAGGGCCAAGCCTTTTGCACGAATTTTGTGCATTGGTCCTCTAATCTTAATATATTTATCTTGTGGATTATTCCTCTTTTCCTTCTTCATACAAATTGTTTTTGCATTTCTTTGGTTTTGGTTTTAAATCCTAAATTAATCTTAGAAATAGGCTGCCAATTTCATTCAGAGAAAAAATC